AGCCATTTATCCAACTGTACACTCAGAGCCTCTGGTTTATGGACCGGATACATCCAGAGCTGCTGGTTCTGTCTGTTTTTTTTCCTGGAAAAACTCAAATGAAATATTAGAGCTGACATCTGAAATATCAAATCAGCCTTATGGGTACTAATGACCATTTTTCTTTTCCATCCAGAACTGCCCACGTTGTGGTCCTGGGCGCATTTGACCGCTCTGTCACGACTGAGGCCACCCAGAGACTTAGTGTTGGCAGAGTAAGTTCCTTCAATAAGAGATAATCATCCATAAACAGTCATTAATCTGTCTTTTTCCATAAAGTGAGACAGCCAATCAACTACTATTATGGATAAAATAGAACCAATGCAGGGTCTGTGTATGAAGTCTGGTTGATTCCCCAACAGTTCCTGGAATTAAATTCTAATATAACTTTTCTCAGGTCTTCAGACACCCCAACTACAACTCCCAGACCATCGTCAATGACATCACTCTGATCACTCTGATCAAGCTGGCCACACCCGCCACCTACACTGACCGCATTTCCCCCGTGTGTCTTGCCGCCACAGTTGATGTCTTCAATGGAGGAGAGAGATGCGTCACCTCCGGATGGGGATACACCAGCGCCCTCGGTAAGGGAATTAGATATTTTGCCAAAAAAAAAATCATAATTGTGCATTTGGAATGAATGAAATGAAGGAATAAGGCCAGGAGAAGTTAGATGTGCTCCTGCTGGGAAGTTGGGAGCTGGAAAATGCCACATGTGCACCACTGTGATGAGAATGTTGTTTCTCGTTTTTAATATTTTTTTCATTCTCCCTTTTCTCACTTTCAGTTCAGGTCACCCCATCTAAGCTCCAGCAGGCATCTCTTCCTCTCCTGACCACCACCGATTGCCAGAGATACTGGGGAACCAACATCAGGGACACCATGATCTGCGCTGGTGCCTCCGGCGTCTCCTCCTGCATGGTACGATGACCATTGCATTTCTACTAACCACCATTTCTCAGCTAGGAAACCATAATTCATGGGCAATTGAGCCCTTACCCATGTGATTCAGCTTCTTGAAGGATCATGTTGGTGTTTCTGCAAACCGGTATACATTTTTACTAAAGGAAACCTGATGGAGATAATAATGAAAGTTAGCTTTTGTCCAATTTTATTTTATTTTTACATTTTCAGAACAGTGTTTCTCAACCAGGGTTCCATAGAGCCCTAGGATTCCTCTAGAGGTTGCTAGGAGTTCCTTGAGCAATGACCAATTTCTGCCTCTCAGATAAGTTCCCACTGATACCATTGATCATTTTAGCTATCTGTAAGGGAGCATTTCTTCCCAATGACCATTAGTGTAAGGAGCATTCTTCCCACCGACCATCACACTAATGTATCATAAGTTGTAGACATTTTTAGCAAGCGTTCCCTGAGACCAGAAAGGGTTGAAGGGTATCTTTCTGTTGAAAAGTTTGGGAAAGGCTGGTCTAGAGAATCTACTTCTATCTAAGGACCTGGCACGGGACTTATGAGGATGGAGCTTAGGGTGGGACATAGATCAGTGTCATATGTGCATATGGAATCCAGGTTCCATGGACTCTCCAGGCATAGAAAAGCTCCATTTAGGAACTTCTTGCTCGATTGTAATAAAAAGGTAATGTTATAACAAACTGACAAAGTTCCCAATTCCTAAAAAAAAAAAAAAAAAAAAAAAAAAAGTCAGGCTACATTTTTTTTACTTTTCATTCAGTTGAGCCCAGAACAGTCTCTGAACTTTTGAGGTCTCCAGTTGAAAGCATCACATGCTTCCATATCCATTCCCAAGGCTGGTAGTCACTGGCTTGTAGGATCATGAATTCCTTGTCATAGTCAACAATAGCCGTAGGCAGATCGATCTATGTCTGGACATTTAGGCAGCACACAGCTCAGACCAACAGAACTTTTTTTAAAGTGAAGTGTTCGTTGTGTGCGAGTTCTCCGCTGTGACGTCTGTTCTCTTCTTTCAGGGTGACTCTGGTGGACCCCTCGTGTGCCAGAGGAACGGAGCCTGGACCCTGGCCGGTATCGTGTCCTGGGGCAGCTCTTCCTGTTCTACATCTACTCCTGCCGTCTACGCCCGCGTCACCGCCCTCAGATCCTGGGTGGACCAGACTGTTGCTGCCAACTAAATACCATCCAATCCACTTATGATACTTAATAAAGTAACATTGTAGCCAATATTTTGTTGTGGATTCAGTTTCCTAAGTGTGTTCAAAATGTAGATAATAAATCCATATATGTCATTTAGAACAGCCACTTAACCCCATATGGGACCCAGTGGGACTTTGAATGTACCACACAGAAGGAATATAATATCAAGGTAAAACCACAATTTATTTCTCATTAAAAACACATTAACAAAAAAAAATATCAGATTGGATTACAAAATGGTAGCATGACTGTTTTAGAGGTTGAGATCGACGCGTTTCACAATTGAACATCGCTTCATCAGGATCTGGGTTGATATGGTTGTTTAATTCTCATATCAAATCCCGAAGTATACCGGTACCTGAAAATAGTCACAACACGTATAATCCAATGTATACATTTAAAGAAACTTTCATACAAAAAATAGAAGTTATAGAACAATGAAAGCCTCCATACATTAAGAATGCACAGAAGTCAAGGCTAAGGAGGAAAAAAAACAAATAATCTCCCGTTGAAAAGATAGACAAAAGTGAGGTCACCCGATCTGTGGGAGGGGGTTATTCAGTGAGGAAAAATAAATGCATTCAATGCCAGCAGGTCCAAAATAAATCACCGAATACACTACAACATGTTAAAATAGCTTAGAAAAAAACCCAAAATTCTTGTACACACACCGTATGTCCAATAGGGCCTTACACACAACACGGTACGCACCAAAGCACCTACCAGGAGGTGTCCAATAGAAAATCCTGAAAATATAAATAAAGAAAGAATCCTTCAAAGATACTGTATATCTAAAAAAAAACAAAAGAAGACGACCAAAGAGTGATGGGCTCTGGACGCAGACCCCGCCTGGGGTTCTCAATGTGATTGGTGATAACACTTTCTGTACGTATGACATTGGTTGATTACCAATGATGGGGTCTAGCAAAGCTTCCTCCAAGGCGATTACCAATGACGGGGTCTAGCAAAGCTTCCTCCAAGGCCATTACCAATGATGGGGTCTAGCAAAGCTTCCTCCAAGGCCATTACCAAAGACGGGGTCTAGCAAAGCTTCCTCCAAGGCCATTACCAATGACGGGGGGTCTAGCAAAGCTTCCTCCAAGGCCATTACCAATGACGGGGTCTAGCAAAGCTTCCTCCAAGGCCATTACCAATGACGGGGTCTAGCAAAGCTTCCTCCAAGGCCATTACCAATGACGGGGTCTAGCAAAGCTTCCTCCAAGGCCATTACCAATGACGGGGTCTAGCAAAGCTTCCTCCAAGGCCATTACCAATGACGGGGTCTAGCAAAGCTTCCTCCAAGGCCTTTGGTTTGTAAATCAGATACAAATCTACATCTTTACTAAAAGCTCCAGTGACACAGTTGATGTCCATATGGTCGGAATCACCCATGGTAAGGACTGTATTTCTTCTTGTTGCTTTTTCGCGATGACTATCAGAAGCATCATTTCTGGATCATAACAAACTCCTGTGAGATCACAAGAATTAGGACTTCCACCATATGCAATATATACATTGCATTCAGAAAGTATTCAGACCCCCTTCACTTTTTTCAGTTTGGTATGTTGCAGCTTGATACTGCAGTTGCTAAAATTCGGCACAGTGGCTAAACGGTTAGCCCTTCCACCTGGCAGTACTCGGGTCATTGGTTCAAATCCCAACCACGACACCACCTGCCTTGAGTTTGCATGTTCTCCCTGTGCCTGCATGGGTTTCCTCCCAGATTCCAAAAACATGGCGGTAGGTTAATTGGAACAATAGCTAAAATATTAGCGGGGAAATATTGAGGGGAATTAACTAAAGTCCAGATGTTGGGTAAAAGTCCAACTGTGAGGGGAGGGGGGGGGGTGGGGAGCGGATTGTATAAAGTTCCAATGGATAATGGATGGTAGCACCCTTAGAGTAAAGCTGGACTCTGTAGGCGAGGAAAGAGAAGAGGGGGGCGCCAGCCTAAGTGCAGCATTAGAAGTAAGTATTTATTGAAAGGTAAAACAATAGGAACTCACTAGAAGTAAAATAGGGTCAGGCATGTCACTCTAGAACTTCATCCTGTATGGGTCCCGAGGGCCGATGGAGAAGGATCAGAGGCAGTGTGACACAGAAACCCAGGTCTCCTGGGTGCTCAGTGCGTGCTTCGGCCAGCCACTGGAGGGAAAAACCAGCCTGGAACGCAGATAGTGCCGGGGCGGACGTAACGTCAGATGTAGGAGCACGGTGCCGTAAAGGGGGCGGTAAGCGTAGCCTCTTCCTCAGACCTCTAGGTTAATTGGATCCTGACTTAATTGTCCCTAGTATGTGTATGTATGAATGTGAGTTAGGGACCTTAGATTGTACGCCCCTCGGGGGCGGGGCCTGATGTGAATGTACAATATATATGTAAAGCGCTGCCTACATTTATGGTGCTATATAAGTACCTGTAATAATACATTTTTATTCTCATTAATCTACACTCCGTACCCCATAATGACAAAACAAAAACAGAATTTTTGAAATGTCTGTGAATTTATAAAAAAAACCCCAAAAATGAAAATATCACATCGGCATAACTATTCAGACCCTTTGCAACAACACTTGAAATTTAGCTCAGGTGTCTCCCGTTTCTCTTGATTGTTGCTAAGATTTTTTTCTACACCTTGATTGGGGTCCACCTGTGGTACATTCCATTGATTGAACATGATTTGGAGAGGCATACACCTCTCTATAAAAGGTCTCACAGCTGACAATGCATACTGTATCAGAGCAAAACCATGAGGTCAAAGGAACTGCCTGCAGAGCTCAGAGACAGGATTATTTCAAGGCACAAATCTGGGGAAGTCTCCAAAAACAATTCTGCTGCACTGAAGGTTCCCAAGAGCACAGTGGCCTCCATAATTCTCAAATGGAGGAGGTTTGGCTCAACCTGGACTCTTCCAATTGCTGGTCACCCATCCAAATTGAGCAATCTGGGGAGATGGACCTTAGTAAGAGAGGTGACTAAGAACCTGACGGTGACTCTGACTGAGCTCCAGGGGGAATTCAGCACCTATGTCCGTGAGGTAGATCGGAGAGAGACACCCATGCTGTGAGCGAGTGAGGAGCTCTTTGGCAAACTGAGACTCTGGTGGATGAGCCACTGTGGGGGGAGGAGTCCTAACCCCAGTGTGGGATGAAAAAGTTTGGTGGTGAGCCTGCTATGTAATCCCTTTGTGCCAGAACTTCGGACTTGTTTTTCTGAAGAAATCTGTTTTGTTTATCTGTTTCGGTTGTATGATGTTCCCGGGCTACCCCATGTCACACCTACTAACCATTTTTTTCTCCCAATAGAGCTGCTTGGAAATCAAAAAAGACTCAGAAAGGCCAGAAATCATGTCTATGTGCTCCTCTAGACCAGGGGCCTCAACAATTTCTAAACAAAGGACCAGTTTACAGTTCTTCAGGCCATTGGGGGGCGGACTGTGGCCAGTTTTAGCCTAAATAGCCTTAGTCATAACTTAGCCTTGGGTCCCCTAAAGCAGGGGTCTCCAAGCGTTCAGTACAAGGCCACATTGTTTATTTTGAAAATATTTGTGGGCCTAAAAAAAAACATCTTTTATAAATTAATGAATACGTTTTTACTTGGAGCTTTTCGTAATTAACATGAAATTATTCAGAACAAAAGAGAAATAACCAGAGGCGTAACTAGAACCTTCAGGGCCCTGGTGCATGAAACCATGAAGGGTCCCCCTGAGTGGGGTCCTTGCCACTGGTCCCAGGTTCCTTTCCACTGGTCCCTGGGCCTTTCAATTTGTTCTGGGGCCCTTTTTTCTGGTGCCAGGGCCCTTCCCTCTGAGCTCCAGGCCCTTCCCGCGGCCCTTTACTCCCCATTGTGTGGTCCTGTATTACAGTCCTGCAACATAACCCTTCCTGCTATCTTGGGGCCTTCCCCACGGTGGCAGAACTGCAGGGTTGAGTCACGAGTGAGACCTTTGCGACCCTGGTAGTTCCACCACTGGAAATAGCTTTAGTAAAACAAAGCAAAGAAATGCCAAATAAACTTGATCCATTAATAAAGGTTGAACAAAAATACATCCAGTCCCTCCTTATATCAGGGTCCCTGTCAAATTCCCCTTTATATCAGGGTCTCCATTAGAGTTCCCCCTTCCACCAGAATCTGCTTCAGAAGCCCTTTTTGCATCAGAGTTCCCATCAGAATGCCCCCTAAATCAGAGTCCTCTTTATACCCACAGCAGGGTCTCCCTTTTAGCATAGTTCATATCAAACTCTCATCTTATTACAGGGTCCCTCTTACATCAAGGTCCCTATTAGAATAACCCCTTACATCAGAATCCTCATCAGAGTCTCTCCCTACATCATGGTCCCCAACAGAGTCCCACTTACATCAGAATCCCCATCAGAGTCCCTTCTTACATCAGGGTCCCCATTGGAATCTGCCTTACATTAGAGTCTTCTTTATCTCAGAGTCCACAGCAGAGTCCCCCTTACATAAGGGTCCTCCTTTTATCAGACTTCAACCTAACATTAAGGTCCCCCTTACATGAAGGTCTCCATTACAGTGGAGATTGTGCACATCAGCTATGGGCCGGCTAAAATCTTGTAGTCGCATGTGGCCCATGGGCTGAAGCTTGGAGAAGACTGACCTACAGGCTGAATTATCTGGAATTTCACTTCATAAGTAATTCTAGAGTTATGTTTAATGTTCCAAGTAATAAAATATGAAATACAATTCAGGTAAATATCAATCCTTAGTAGAGGTGGTATAATGGAAGCCAGTCTTCACTGATTATTATAAAGGCCCATGAAGATTTGTGAACACCTTTCTAATGTTCTGGAAAAGCTCATGAAGAGCTTGCAGAATATAAAGCACCAGATACAGTATGTCTTGATATCCCAACATGGACTGTGTGTGAGGGGACCACGTAGACCACAGTTCCAAAAAAAACCTTCTGTTTTTCTTTTTATAAAGCCTAGTAAATGACCTATTGATATGTTGAATGGATAA